TTATTCAGTGACACTTTCCCTCTCGTTGACTGCATTTTTTTATTAACTGACAGGGTATTGTGGCAACTTTTGATGATGATGATGCCAGACAGTGTTTGGAGGCACAATTGCAGCAAAGTCATTCTGTGAGCACATCAGCTGAAGAAAACTCTCTGGACTTAACTACATAGTTGCAATCTACCTCATTTTGGAAATGTAAAAAGATGAGAAAATAATACAATTGAAAAATGGAAAGTAATTAACTTTCCCTTCATGTTTGCATTTTTTTTTTTTTTGGTTATTTCTTTGCCCACCAATTTCTTTTCTATTAGCTCTTTCCTAGCAGTGGTATTTCCTCTCTTGCAGTTATCGTGAGCATTTTTATTAGAAACTTGAGTTTAAAGTTTAACTTTTTGTCTTTTTTTTTCAGTTTTAACATATATYGAAGCGATGTAATTTAGGCAAGTGCCTTCCTTTTCCCTAAAAATAATTATTATGAGAATGACTATGTTGAGTAGGTCCATACCATGAGGCTTCTTGCTTTAAGCAGCATATTATCTTCCTGAAGTATTTTCTGGCTCTGGTCCCCACCACATTCTCATAAGTGAAAGCTCCGGCAAGGCTGTATCTTGCAGATGGGGAAACCTGGGCAGAGCAGTCTCCGGGGAAATCAGTGGCAGAAAAAGATCAGAACTTGGCATTTCTCTATTTTYAAGCCTGTGCTTATTTTGTGTCCACGAGGCTGCTACTTTCTAACGTTATTAGATTATRATAAACCTAAATTCACAAGTGGATGGGCTTCATATTTACCATAAAATCTCAAAGTGAAATGCATTAACTGGTGAAGTGCAGTGAGCTCTTCTTRTCTTATGTATCTATTCTTATGTAGCTCTTCTTATCAACTTCTTATCTGTGTCCCAAGAGCTTCCAAGCTGCCTCCATCACCCTCATCAAGCCAGGTCTCCATCTCCAAAGGTSGTGCAGCAGGAAGCCTGGATTTGGCTCCTCCTTTCCCACTGATTTGCAAACTGATGCTTGTCATCGCCTGGCTCCCTGTGACCTGGGAATGATACTTCTCTACCCCTGTCCTGGATTTTTTTTTTACTTAATATGGTGTAGAAAATGTGCTGCATTGCTTGGATTTAAGGCCCTATAAAATGTGAGGCATCACATTTGTGCCCTGACAATTTTGAATTCRCTGCCGCTGAAACACTGGAAAGCTCCTTTGCTAAATGTCTTAAGAAGATTAAGATTGACCCTTTTAATATTGCTTTTAGCTGCATTTATTTGTAACCCTTTCAAAATGTGTAGCACCTTGAGAGGTGGCATGGCAGGAATGTTATCATCACAGTCATTACATACCATTTATGTGTTGGGTTTTTTTTCTGAAATATTAGGTTTAGCACTTTCATGTAACAGATTAACTCACATAAGCCATAGTTTTTAAACTTACTTGCTTTTTTTAACAAAGAAAAAAAAAAGAGACTGGTTTTATTTTGGCTGAGCATTTTATTTGAGCACATCATGTCTCTCTTGCATTTCTCTTCCCATTCCTAGCTGCAGAGCTGTCTGTGGCTTTCTCATCCAAATAACTGGGATTGTTACCAAAAATGATCAGCTTTATATATACCTTAAAATTTTATTCTTAATTCACATAAGAGCATATGGGTCTCTTACTGAATTTTGCTGAGATACRGGAGATAAATATGTACTGAATACTGTAAAGGGCCAAATTAACCTTTTTTTTCCACCACTAGTAGGGACTTAATTGCATTTAACCAGCTCTGTGTGTGCTCTCCTACTGGGTTGGACTCAGGCTAAGCTCAAAAAAGCCCTGAATATCAGGAAAAAAAGCGTGTTTTGAAAACTCTTGGCATCCATGTGACACAGAATTCATGAGACCAGTTTCCCATTCTCTGTTTGATTTCATTCTCATTGCAATGAAAGTGAGCCAGAAAGGCTTGTCTGAGACTTCCAAAGGAAGACCCCATAAGGTAGGATGGGAAATAAGGAGATCCATGTTGCCACAGACCAGAACGTCGCAACGTTAGGACACATAATAAGAAACTCTTGAATAAATCTGGGCAAAAAAAATCTAATATGCAAAATTAAGGTATTGAGACATCAACGTAGTGAGCGAATAGCTCTAATGGCAGTGCTCTCAGATCCACGTACAGGCATGGATGAGAAGCATATGCTGCCCATGGACATTTTGTGGTGGTTTGGTCATTTTGCTGTTTGCCTATGGTGAAATTTAGAATACATTCGTAAAACTCCCAGTTTTTCCTTTATGAGATGAATATTAAATCAAGAAAAAATAAAAATCCCTAAACAGCAAAAACAGATCCTAAAATCACATTAGCTTATTTTTTTTCTCCTCCAAGCACGTAATACTTTTGAAGAAAAAGTTTATGTTTTGCKATTAGGCTTTTCTGCAGCTCTCTTCCAGGAAATGGAGTATATATAATTAATACTCTTTAATAAAGCTCGAAAATGCAACAGATGCAGGCAAAAGCGCACGTCATTTTGAGCAGATCTTTACAGAACAGACATTGCATATTGTGTTCATCTTTTTTTCCACGATCGCTGCTATGACAATCTGGTGTGTTTAGCAGTTGTTGCTGAGTAAGGCAGACTGGATTGTGTGTGATTTTCTCCATGTCAGCCGAGGAGCACGGCTCTCTGGTGCAGGAGAGAGGCTCTCGTGCTCGTTATTCTCGCTACCAGCAAGGGCTATACCGTTATTAATTTACAAGTATAATAATGCATTGCAATCTGTAGGTGCATGTGCCAGGAGCTTTCGGAAAGCCCTTGCAAAATAAGATTTTTGTGCCTGGGAGAGCCTTAGGAACTGGCAAACTGAATTGCATAAACTTCCGAGCAGGAAAACTACGAGATTCGCGTATTTTGTCGCTGAAACCTATGGGCATCGTTGCTGTCTTACAAAAGCAAAGGGTTTTAAAAGGGCGCGCGGATGGAGGATCACCTCCTGGAGAAGCCGGGCTCCAGCACAGCGGAAATGTTTCCCTTTCCAGCATTCCTTCTGGGTGCCAAATTTTCCTTCTGTTCTTCCCCACCTATTAAACAAAGCTGCAACTTCCAATTCCTCTCGGCTTCTCCGAAATCTGTGCAGCGTATGTGGTTCCCCTGGCAGCTCCGTGTCAGTGCAGCTCCAGCAGCAGCCTCCACTTTTGGCAGCCTCCGGGAGCCCCGGTCGCCCCTGGAAAGCGGCAAGGGAAGCGGATCCGGCTCTGGAAGGAATTTTTGTGATGACGTTTCCAAATCTTCCAAGGCTTTGGAAGGAGCTGTGCAGGGAGCTGGGGCTGCCGTGTTGGTGGCACGACACCGAAGTGACCCTTCCTAAAGCACCCAAAAACACAAGGGAAATGGGGCTAAGCTTGCAATGAGTTGCGCGGTTCTCTGCAAGGCAGCCGTTTTCCTTGCAAACCTTCTCCTTTCTGCCATAGACGTCCCACTGCAGCCACGTCTGCCCCGAGTCCAGTCTCGGTTCTTGCAGATGGACATTTGGACATTGCAAATATGCCGGTACCTGAAGCTCACCCGCACAAACAGGTGGATGCCTAAATCACGAGGTGGCCAGCAAAGCAGGGGAGGGTTTTTGGGGTCTTTGCAACTAAAATTCGCTCACTGAGTCCGTATTACCCACTTCTGTTATTGGAACCACCGTGAAGGCTCCTGGTTCACAGATGTGAACCGAATTATGGAGCTTATGCTGTTGCATTCCTCTTTATTACCGGGAACAAAACAAATCTGGGAGATGCAGGCCCTCTTAAAGTAATTATTGTCTGGCTTTTATTTWAAAAAATGCAGCTAATTCCAAAAACTCTACAGTTCCTGAAGGTTTTTTCAACCTACAAAAGTCACGTTAATTATAAGATTAATTTGTTTTAATTCCCTAAACAAAAAATATTGACTGGATGAGAAATTAGCACGTGCAGAGCTGCAGATGTCATTTGGCTTCAGATTTCCTGAACGATAGATACAATTACTAAATATCTTCCATATAGTGCTGTGACAAACCTACAGATTCATGGTATAAAATCAGGTTGTGAAGGAGCCACCAGGAGAGCCAGGCTATCGATTTGCCATAATGCGAGAAGGACAACAGGGAGATCTTCTAAATAATAAATAAAAACAAAATCTTTTAAAGACATCTGGTCCACATCTGTCTGAAATAACGCCATAATGTAAAGCAGAGTAATTAAATGCAAGAAATAATAGAAATTTCACCTTGGAGCAGGGGAAATAACTCAATGCAGTTTTGATATCGTTTCCCATTTTCTGGAAWTTTAGTTTATCCGTGGTATCTTTTTAACCTTTCATTTTACCCTAATAAAGAAAATAGAATAGTAAGTAGTTTTTTCATTCTTTTTTAGATACCAGCCTTATGTCTCAAGATGTTGCCTGTAGTACCTTTAATATTATCTTCAGCTGAAGCTATAAATATATACAGATTCTTTGCTGCTACTTTAACTCCCAGCAAGTTCCTTTGCAGTCTAGAAAGCACCCTCATATTAGGGTTCTTCTTTCTTCTCTACGGGATGTCCTGAGTGAATCAGGAGTACATGTTAATACAGCGTGGATTCATAGAATTCCATTTTGGGAAATCATATGWTTTTAGGAAAAATATATATATTTATTCTGAAAAGGTGGGTGAAATACCTTGTTTCAGTGAATGAAAAAAAACCCAACATTTTTTCCCACCTCTGCATTTTTAGCATGATTTTGCTTTGAGCTTGGTGAGATATTACTCATTCCTTGCTTTCTAAGTTGGTAATTGAAAAAGTGAAGATGTCATTTCAGGACAGGGAAAAGATATGAGCCTGTGATAAAACTGACTTATGGTCTTGAGGGCTGGACTGAGGAAAATATGCAAGGGTGAGGTGTAAGGGAAGAGGGACATTATGCCGAGGACAATTTAGGAAAAATGCTGTTCCGATGAGCGAAATCAATTCCACGAGTAAACAACTAACGCTGAGATATGTTCTGTTTATTTCAAG